GTCTCTGGAAATGTCTTGAATTTCAGTCGGTTGCCGGATTTCCTTTTCAAATTTCATCATTTTATGTTTGTATTGTTCATCTAGTTGTGCTTCCTTTCTTTTGTAATGGTTTCTTTCCATTTTTTTAAAAATTCCTCAGCGCTGTTTTGTTTTGTTATTTGTTTTCAATTGGTTTTTTTGCACTGACATTCTATGTGAAGTATTCTCTATCCAACCACTGAAGTCTTGTATTCAGTTGTCTAATGTTTTTCTTATGTTGACAAGTTAACGTTCAGTGGTAGACGCTGTATAACTGATTTCTTGCTCGTATCTATTGATTATAAGATTCTTGATACATATATATGTTACTCAAAGACTCTGTGTTACAGAATTAACGGTTAGGTGAATCAGGAATTATGCATTAGACGTTCGGTATACACAAGTTTGTCATTCTGATACGTTGGTTTGCTTTTCATGCTCTAATCTCTGTGATGTAAAGGCAGATTAAGTCAAAAGTTAACTAAGAATAGCCACTATATAAAGAAATGGCAAATATTGATGACAGTACACTCATGGTTATCACCATCAACAATATCGACATTGGACCAGGCATTGCTGCCTAACGGTCCCAGTTGACACAGCTCATATGAATACATAAAGTAAAAAGACAGTGAGGTGGAAGATGAAGAAAAGAGAATTCACTCAAAAGAAATATAAAGTATGAAAAGAGAGAAAGGAAGAATGAGAAAATGGTGAGACTCGGTATAGCGTCGTTAAGATGACAATAATGTCTGTGTATGTATAGATCTGTGCTACTCACATCGGTTCTTAGCCATGTGTTCACTTAGAGTCAGTCTCCAACCACTGGTTCCTCTTGTCCTGCGAACCCCAACCGGCTAGTCTGCATCGCCCCACATGGCTCAAACTAACAGTTAGAGACTTCATGCATTGGTGCCATGTTTTAGTCTGGTCACCTCGGGCCTTTCTCCAGCCTGGACCTACATCGGCCAACATTGTGTGACGAGGCGATCGCCGACTAGACATAAGTAACACAATTCGGAGGCAACCATGTGAGTTGATGAAAGTTCATAACCTTGTCAACTGATTTACCTCTTCTCCTGAAACTCTTTACCTGACTTCTGTATAACTCACGTGGTGACACCACGGAATACGGCGTATACTAAGAAGGCGAAGGTGGTCAAACACTTGAAGCCAGCCTTTTCATATCTTCCACCTGCAATGGTCATGTTTCACAGCTATACCGAACTTCTGTGCATATGCAGTACATGAGACCCTTAGTAGACAATGGGATGTCACGGCGGTGACGCTATAAGTGGTGTAAGTTGTCAAAAGCCAGTCGAGCCTTTTGTATCTGTTCAGAGATTTCATCGGCCACTGAGCCATCAGGGCAGGGTTGATCCTACTTCCCAGGTAAGTGAAGTGATCGACACACTATCTATTGTTAACCGTGGCACGTTGAAGACCAATTGTGGAGCGACAGTTTGCATTTAGGTGATGAGAAACTCATCCCAAACATTCTGAAACCGCCAGCCAAAGTGTTCTGAAGACTGCATCTCATCAGTCAGCGTCTTCACCCAACAGGACTGGCTATGTCATCTGCATATTGTCGGTCTGATGAAATTTCTCCTGTGAATAGGTCAATGTCTATGTAATCAGGTGACGAGAGGTAGACCTGCATGAGAGTATGTGTGATAGAATTGAATAAGAATGAAGATAGTGGGGACCTTTGATGGAGACTACTCGATGAGTACAGGTCACGTGACATGTCATCATAGGCTGTAACAGGCCCACAAGTGTTTGAGTAGAGAGCCATGAATAAGGTGATGTAGTTACTTTGCACGCATTTCAGTGAGAGACATTGCCATAAGACTTTTCGATGAACGGAGTTGAATGCCGCCTTCAGGTCAAGAAATACAGCTACCCTTTAGCCTTCGTTGCCCACCACTGTTCGTAGTCGTCGCGTATACTTTTTCTCAATCTACTTTGAAGTTGCGCTTTCTCTTCATTGTATTCACAGCCTGCAGGGATGCGTTCACGTGCATTCATTAGTTCGGAAGAAGCTGTTGATATCCACTGGCTCTTTTTAGCCATTACCTTGGAGTCGGCTACGGTCTTCAGTGCTGCTTTTACAGCAGACTGGAGATTGCACCAAGCTTCTTCTGAATGAATGATAGTCTTCTGTTCCGGTAGCTGCCTAGCCAATCTCGCATTGAACCCGGCTTTGATGTTTTCGTTGTCCAGCAGAACTCGTAGTGGTTTTGTTGCCAAATGTTTCTTACGTCCATTGAGACGCAGAGATATACGCGCTCTGACCAACGCGTGGTTCCTATCCAAACATGTACTTCAGAACGAGCGGCAGTCTCCCACGGATCCTCCCTAGCAATGACGAATAACAATGTGGTCTCTCTGTGTCCATCGCTGAGTAGAACTCGGTGGACGCCACGTCAGATAGTGTCTTTCTTTATGTCTGAAATTTGTGCTAGCTAAAAATAGGCGGTTATTTGAGCATAGTTGTAATAGGTGATCACTGTTATCTGTACGTTCAGCCTGGACTCCGAAAGTGCCACCTAAATGCCTTTCTGCTTCACTTAGTCTACACACCTGTGCATTGAAGCCACCTGCAACAACCACCACGTCCGAACGTTCGGCTTTCGAGAGGAGGCTAGACAGTTTAAGGTAGAACTCATCCTTCACTTCATCCGAGCTGCAGTCGGTGGGTGCGTAAGCAGAGATTACAAAGAGACAACGGTGAGTCTCACTATTCCTCTTAATTCTCACTGGGTTATTCAGTCGGATAGCGCAGAGGCGACTGTCAACTGGGATCCAGTCTAATAGTGAGTTTTCTGCCCTACTGCTTAATGCTATGCCTACACCTGCAAGACCACGAGAGCTAGCTATCGATTCTCCAGAAAATCGAAGGGTGAATTTCGCGGACTCACCAGATTGGCCGGGAGAGATCAGGTGAATAACCGCACTTGGGTCCTGTATGCATGTCTCACAAACACAGCACACGTCCATGGCCCGAGTTGTCAAAGTCTTTGCCAACGAAGCCTGTTGGCCAATTTGACGGAGTTTGCGGACATTGAAGGCTCCAATGTGTAATTTGGAGGGTGGTTTAAGGAGACCAGAGATGCTGTTCTGTGGATTTAGATCGTTGCCGGAGGCTGCAGAGTTAGGAGAAATTGAAGATGATATAGTATCGTTACTTGAGAGACGTGAAGGAAGATTAGGATGTAATGATGGGGGAGGTGAATAGCAGTCGGAGTAAACCTCAGTGGTGATCGAATTGTGAGGGCGGTTGACACTTCCTGGCTGCTCACACCGTGGAAGGCTATACCGAACGCTATACCGAATCTCACTATTTTGTCACTCCTCTTTCCTTTCTTCTCGTACTTTATATTTCTTTTGACTGCATTCACTTATCTTCATCCTTCACCTCACTACCTTTTCACTTGATGTGCTGATATGAGGTGTGGCAACTCGGACCGTTACGCAGTAATGCCTGGTCCTATGTTGATAATGATGATGATGATGATGGAAGGCTATTTCTTCTTACACTGATGGTGTGTTCTGTTTGTGTAGAAGAATGAGAGTTGAGTAAGCTGAAACCCACCCACTAACCTTGTGCACATTCGTGCTGTAGGGAATGAGCCACACTTATTTTGTCAGGGCCAATGATACTATCTGGCTGCCTACACCTCGATAGATGGAACCCACCACCTATTGACTAAAAGTCAACTCAGTAAACAACTTTACAATCGACTTGACCGGAGACTAGTTGTCTTAGCTATGGTAGCAGGCAGCCTGAGTGTCAACCTCTCACCACTAAGTCTTCCTTATACTTCAGATGCACAATTATTAAGCTTCCTGGTTGAATGTAATGTGATAGCTAAGTCCTGACCTTCTTAAAAGTCGCTCCATTTTATGATCATGTCATGAAGCCTATTCCTTTTTTGCTGGTAGTTCACGAATAATATGCAAACATTTCCAAGTTATATGTTATATTCGTCGTAAAATTATGTGGGTTTCAGTATTCAAGGAATGTTGACGGGGTAGAAGATTATCACCGTTTTTAAAAGATAGAAAGAAGCCTTATTTTATATCTTGACCTTTCTAACCGATTTTCATGAAAGTTGATAACTTTAATGACTTTGCACTTTGCATTTACTGTTATAATACCAATTTAACTACACCCTCCACATTGCCCTTAGCATTTGCCTTCCCCAAATAAATCTGGGTATATTTTTGTTGATACTGGGTGATGATTGAAGGTGAAATGAAAATTTGAACCGCGGTCGGGTTCGAACTAGTGACCACCAAGTTTCTGACCCTATGTCCGACCAACTGAGCTACAAGGCCCGATTACTGACCAAATATCTGTTTCACTTCAATCTTAAGATAGGGTTTTGCCCGACTACCATATGAATTCTTGACGCGTTATCACCACTTGGTCGTACTCACGCTGACTGCTGCCTAAAGTCAGGACTTCTCATCCCAATCGAAGTCTAAGTGAATTAGAGAGGTGGGTAGCATCATGTTGATTATCATTTTGACTATCTGAGATAGCAGCCGTGGTTTGGCAGACTAGTATTTATACTGGATGATCGAAGATGAAATGAAAATTTGGACCGCGTCCGGATTCGAACCAGCAACCACCGGGTTGGTCGCTTCAGTCATCAATCACCCAGTATATATCATATATATTTGTTGAGTGAGATTTTGTAAACTGTTTTAAGAAAGAAATATATAATAATGCAACCAGCTCAGTGGCTAAATTTTACATTGGAATTATGAGTCATGATGTAGGAGGCGGATCAACAGCTAAGGAAATCTCAGAATATATTACTGCAACGTATCACTCCTGTCTTCTTTTTCTATTGGTTGATATTAACATCTTCAGACATACTTCCTTGTTTAACAAATAAAATGAGTAAACTCTTCACTTTGTCATAGAAAGTTTTTATTCTACTAATTGCTTTTACACTTTACACAAAATTCAGGTTGCTCTCCACAATCGTACAGAATTAATAACATTGCCGGTATCTCCTACATTGAGTGGTGTTTCTATTCCACCTGTTCTTCGAAACTCTTCATCTAGTCAAGAATCATCGAATGTACGTACAGGCATAAATCCAACCAATGGTGTTGACGGTGATGGTGTTTTAGATTTACATCCAGGACAATCTTTGAATGCAGTTATCAGTCATGAATTAAAAGAATTAGGTATTCATAATTTACGATGTACAGTATCGTATTTTCAAACAAATACTCATGGTAAATCTGAAGCATCATCTCATGTTGCTGCATATGAATCTCCACGGTTAACATCAGGTTGGTAGTTTTATCTTAATTGTATTTTTACAGATTACCTATTTCGGGTAATCTAGTTTCTTGGTTCCACAATGGTGCTTTAGAGCTACAAGCCCGTGATCTCGCTTGACTAATTCAAATTATTATTATTATTTGTCCCTAGTAGAACGTAGGGCTTGAGTAGCACGTCGTCATTTCACTCAATTCTCTGCTGTCTTTTGAACCTGGCTCCATGACTGCCCAGAACCTTTCATTCCTTCTCGTCACGATCTCCTCTATGTTACCCTCGGACACCCAACTGGTCGTTTCCCATTTGGGTTCCATTCGAGAGCTAGGCCTGACGCATGATGTCCCCAAACGGTCTACTCAGTGTATGTCCAATCTATCTGTGAAAGTGACGTGGAAGGAAACCTGCATAACCTTATTAGGAAGGAAGAAGAAACAAGACAAGGAATAGATCTCGACGGACACGTGGAAGTTAATAGAGGAGAGGAAGATGGTGAAACAGAAGATGAACGAGTGCAGTGCAGGGATGATCAACGAAAAGAGGAACTGAGTACAACCTACAAAACACTAATTCTAAGGGTAACGTTTTAGCTTAGTAATTTATTTTGCGGTCATTAGATCTATGGTTCATTGGTTTAGGAAGTTGACTTTCAACCATTGGGTTGTAGTTTCGAACGCCGCTCCGCTTATCACGACAGGCAGGTGGTATCATTTGCTGTCACACAATATGTATACTCCTTGCCAACTGTGCGAATGTGCATGTGGTTCTATCTTATCAGCATATGAAGTTCACGTCCATTAACTTTGTAATCATGAAGGACTTGAACGCAGATCATAGACAGGAGTGATGTGGTCAATTTTGATGATCGCTGTCTTTATTCACAGAGTATACGAACATTACGACAATGCTACAGTATTCCTATAATACCGCCTAACAGTGATCATTCCTTATTATTGTTATTCACCGTCTAATCGAAGTCAGTAGGGGGGTAACAGTGGATGGAATGCCCGAGTGTATGTTAGCCCACTAGCTTGTATGGTTAGCAAGCGATTAACTGAATATCCAACTTAAATTTCTTGTAATCTGAATACGAATAAATGATTTATATTGTACACAATAATATTATTCACATTTAGAAACTATTTAGCATTGGAACTGTAGGTCATTAGTTTGAGTAGTTGAATTTCAACCAATGTAGTTGTTAATTAGAGCCCTATTCCACCTCATATAATTGATATGCTCCATTGCCTACTGCATGATTGTGCATGGGATTGGTGAGAACATTTCGGCTTTTTTTCGAGCTAGCCTTACTGTTTGATGATTTCACTTGCCGCACGGGAAATTAGCTCATCGAGGCGGAAGGTAAAATAAATAAATACGATTTCAGATGTATAGAGGATTGTTCGGGGGGGGGAGAGGTGGGGAAATACCAGAAGCTGAAGATGAGAAAGTTAGTACAACTAACATATGTAAACATCATCTGCACAAACGTTAAAAATATTACTAGCTCTAGCTTCGACTATTGAATTGATTTTGTTGTTAAGCAAGTTAGGCCTAATAATTGAGACTTCGTTTTCTATTATCATATTCAACTAGTTTCTTCGATGTAACGTGCACAATATTCTTTAGAGATCAGATTAGTTTTTTTTTTCTCTCCTTATTAGAAAATATTTCATCTCTAACTCTGTGGTTTTTCACAGGTCTTTCATCTAGAGATACAGTTAAACGAGAACCGATCACATTTCAACGTTTATACAGATTCTCTGTAAGTGAAATCTATTAATGTTATATAAGGATATTCGTTAAATATTTGCTTACTAGCTTAACTGAAGAGTTATCTTCAAAAACATAATAAAGTAAACAGTTATTCTAACCTTAAGGTTTCAGGGAATTAGATAGACTATCTCCGTGAGTATAGGAGTAAAACTTTGGCACTGTGATCGATTGTAATTCCATTTTAGTCTATTTATTAGAAATTCCACACACAGCAAATGAATAGTAACATTTACTGGAAAAAGTTTCAAACACAATTTATTCTCCATATTCATATCAGGTACCTCCGTGAGTGTTTTAAATTATTCTTTGTGAGAATACCGACTTGACTTCTTTGGGATTTTTACATTAAGATAAGAAAAATATTGAAAGGCGTGTTATCATGTATGCTATACGAGTCGGCAGTCGACAACCTATACAATTGCACTCATGACTACATCACTTTCTATACGAGTTATTCTCAAGCATGGTGTCTGATAGTATGTAGAATACTGTTAGTAAGTGATGAAATAGTAGGTGATTACTGAAAATATTATGACCATAGAATGGCACTGTCTTTGAGTGTCTTCGTGGTGAGATGCTGAATCATTGGTAGCAATTCTCAGAAAGTGAGAGTTATAATAATCATGTCCAATGTTGCATTAAATGGAAATAAAAAAAATTATACGTTTTCAAAATTTTCTGTGCTGCTTTACTCATTCTTTACGATTTCTAAAGACGTTTATTGTCCTCAAACTGTTAGAAAAAACTCATGCAAATTAGAGTTGTGTTTCGAAATTCTGGCGAGGGGGGGGGGAACTGGTTCAAACCCCCTCTCCATCTACCAAGGTTTGGGCACCCAGCTGTTACCATTAGATGTGATAAAATAGGTGTATACATGGATGTGCACAACCCGATCGATAACTACTACCTTGACATGGTGGTCGGTTTTGTATATGTCAGTAATCCAATGAGCTATGTTGGTGAAATGCGTGTTCATTTGAGGTCTTACCATACCAGAAAGGTCTGTTAGGTAGTGGTAGGACGAAGGGCAGTTACCGTTGTGGTGTAAATTGCTATGCTATCATGGACCTCTTAGGGTGAAGTCGTACTGCTGATAGCTGGATGGGGGTGTGACAGCAATAAGGTGTTTCGCTTGGATGACTGGCAGGGGCACGCTGATGCTGCCTTCTCTGTTCGAAGCAGTGGGATTCATAGTCGGATTTGAAAGCGAAAAAGCAGAAAGGCTGTGTGACCGGCCTCAAGCAGATGTCCCATGGGTTCTGCAGTCATGCACTTACCCTTCTTTATCAGCTACCTCAAAAAGCACTAGCTTTCTGTGATATGGGAAGCCAGGAAGTGTCAAATGCCTGCACGTTTCTAGGAGTACACAAGACCCAAATGCATGAGGCTGCTAGATAAAATACAGTTTTTTTCTATTGTTAAATTCCTACTTGTTATACTTTACTCTTCGTATCATTATCAAGTTAAACGAACTAAAACAGTTCCCCCTCCACCTACTTTTTTAACAGGTAACTAAACCCTTGGATGTTCAAAAGAAATTTTCAATTGTTGATGCAAGTTCCACAGTTGTAACTTTTGTTTACATGCCACCTATTTTACGATTTTTATTTTTCAATGATAAGTTTGAATGTTGGTCTACTTGGTTGAATTGAGTTTCGGTTTATGTATGTGTGTGACGACAGCGTGGTTCACTGTTCAGTGTATTCAACTTCTGGTCATCGGGTTAGAGGTTCAAATGTAATCTTGAAATCGAAATGCCCTAAGCAACTTTATGCACATTCGTGCAGTAGGCAATAAACCACACCTATTGTAAGGGCTAATGATATCACTCACATTTTGGTAGGTCGAACAGTGTTCGAATCCTCAATTTATTGGTTGAAAATCATCTTCCTAACCCTAATGAACTACAGCTTTACATAAATCTACTTTAGCTAATTCTGCTCGATCGATTGGTTGACATTGTTCATCGTCGTACAATAATTGATGTTATCAGAATGTGTTACTTGAGTTTGTTTTGGTCTGCTGCTTCTTACCGATTATGTTTCAGTTCATCAAAGGGAGCTAAGTCGAGGGATAGATCTTGTCTGAAACGTTCCGAGACTCAATGCTTTCCGGTCACTGGCAGGGTTGATTGTTCGTTATCTCATCCATTCAGGACACTTGATGTGTGCATTTAACTGCCGACATAATAATACATGCACAATAAATGCAATCTTACTTCGTTCCACTCAGTTATTTGATTTAATTGTGTTTCCTTGTACCTGGTTAAATTTTTACTTCGGTTACAACTAACTAGCAACTTGTTTCAAGATGGATTTCTCAAAATTTCAGTGGGAAACTGTGACTTGGAACCTGACGAAGTTGATAAAGAGAGAGAGAAAAGATGCCTACCGATTACTTTGGCTATGTCGTGAATTGGTAGAAGTAAGTGAGCGTTGACTGTAGGATTTTCCAATTAAGTGACTGGACGGTAACGTGCTTGGCGTAAGATCCAATAGCTTTCAGGTCGATCCCTTGCTGGGTCGTTTGTACCTACCGTTGAAGAGTCGCAAAACTAGAACGAAGCGGCCTTTCAACGATTCTTCAAATGTTGTCACTGTGTGATGAAAATTACGTTGAAAAATGTTTTCATGAATTTCTTTAGCTTCATGTTTAGTAATCGCTACTTTTAGCTGGTAAAGAGAAACCTCAGAACAGAATAAATTCGTTTTATCGTGAGGACCATATTGTTCTTACCATTGTCACTTACCATACTATTCGTATATGATTATAGTGGAGACATATGTTATACACTTTGAATCATAACTCAACTCAGTATATTATTTTGTTTGCAGCACAAATTCGGTTGAGTCGAGATATTTGAACACTAGCTGTGAAGTGCTGTACGTGACTCGCAGTCCGAACAGATTAGTAGTTTCATCCCTGATTGCTACAGCACTGTTTGACTTAGGTTTGTATTCCTTTGCCTATATCAGTCCTTTCTAGGTGGCAGATTCCTGTTTCAAACGAGAGTCAACAAGGACAAAACCGAAGTATATAACTTTCTACATTAATACTGAGTATTCTCATGTTAAGATGAAACAAATGTTCACTACCTCCTGGTTTCCACAGTTCTACAACTCATGTCAGTGCATGATGAATATCAACCTAAAGTCCTCCATAAACATCCAGGCTGAAAAGCGTTTCAATCTTTATCTTCACTTTCTTTCTTCTTTCCAGCTTGTTTTGACACTTTCTCCATGGTATCTGTTCACTGTCACTGAACAGACTCAATGAGACACCGACTTACTACAGTCCGCCATTTGTATCACGCTATTCTTTTTCCCACTATGATTATTTCATAAATCTGAAACATTTTCAACTAGGCTCACTCTGTGTGAGTGACATAGTCTATCTATCTACAATTTTAGACCAATTTAACTTATTTCCAACTACATAAACTTTGTTTTGGTCCAGTTTTGTTAAAAAAAATGTCAGTGTCAATTCTTCTTAATTATTCTATTCCAACTGTCATTTTTTTACTTGGCAGTTTGAATTATCGAACTTCAGATTACAACAAACGTTTTCCATTGGTTTTGGGTTATGCTTATCACTACTGTTCACTTGTTTGTATGTGTTGCCATCGCCTCCTTCCCATCGTTATAATCACCATATATCAACTGATGTCTAAACCCGAGTTATGCAATGACCAACAGATACGTTGTGTGTCTGGTTTTGCTATCAATACACTTGAATAATAAAAAGAATAACAGTGTTTAGACAAATGTTCTGCTGTAAGATGTTTCACTTTTGCTTCGACTTGATTTGGTGGCCTACAGCGATAAGAAAATGCTCATTATCCACTCGAAACGATGTTCAACGTAAAATTTCGCTGATCGATCTATACTAGTAGCACTCACAGTCGTATAAAGTTGATATAATAATGTGTGGGTGTATCTACGACTCTCAGATTGATCATGATTAGTCTCATTTTGCTTCTCAAATTGCTTAAATCGGTTGTTTCGTCGGTTAAACGGCCTTTTTGGAAGTTTGAAATTCAACTTTGCTTGTTCTAAATCCATCTATTAAATGCTTACCAACGGCATCAAAATATCACAGAGCAAGGGGAAGTGTGTTATTTCGCGGCCTATCGTTATTATTCTCCCCTACCTATAGGGAAGATAGAATCAGCATAAACTCCTGAGCATCTGCGAGAAAGCACGCTAGTGCTGTCACATATCTATTCAACTAGTAGTAAAACTTCATTGTTGCATCCCCACTGTTGAGTAGCTGTTTGCACTATAACGGTAACTGCTTTTTGTCTTACCATTAAGCAAGAATGCTTTCTAGTATTACGGAAGCTCATGAATTAAAATTGCTTACCAGTATAGCTAGTTGAGTCATTTTTTTGACTCAAACCCGAGCACCACTTTAACGAAGAAGGCATCGGTTTGTATCGCACTGACTAGCCTAAAAGTGGATGGAATTTTTGATCAACATATTCATTCATCTTTAAAATGAAACAACACTAAACGTTGTACTTGAGCATTGTTATTATTTTATTATTTGTTCTTGTTCCTAGTGAAACGTAGGGCTTCAGTTGCACGTCGCCATTTCACTCTCTCCTCTGAAGTCTTTTGAACCTGGCTCCATTACTGCCCACAAGCTCTCATTGCTTCCTCATATGATCTACTCCATGTCACCGTCGGAGGCACAACTCGTCATCTTCCCTTTGCGTTCCAATTGACGGCCTGACCTGACGCGTCATGTCCCCAAATGGCCTTCTCAGTGTATGCCCGATCCATCTCCACTTTCTTCCTCTGCATATTTGTCGGGCGATAAGTTGTTGATTGGTTGGTTCGTTGCCAGAGTTCTTTGTTGCTTATTCTTATTATTCTGGCCATCTGTTCGATCTTCAGTATCGAGTGGAGCGTAGGTGGCAGCTGTTGATGTGATGTATGTCTGTATTTTGATGGGAATGCTTTTCGCGTTACTTTCCAAGTATCTGAACCATCACATAGAAGCATTGACTTGACTGACATCAGTAGTGTTGAAAATCCGGATGTTGTTCACGCTTTGTACTGACTGCAGTGCAGTAGATCTCCAAACTGATTGTTTCAGATTAATGCAAGAAGGTCTGTCTTGCTGTCTTTTCGATCCTGGCTGGCTTTGATATCCTCCTCTGTGGCCGTGCTGCTTGTGGTTGGAATGGTTCTGCTCGCCTGGGTAGGTGAAGGAGACAAGTTCGTTTAGATTTCTCCCGTTGATGATGATTGGTGTTTGTTGTTGTTGTTGGCTGGTATCTCGGCCACCTGTATCCTCTCTACGTTTACCTGAAAGAAGTCCCGTCTTCGCTGCCTCTCCGCTCCTGCCAACTTTTTAGTTTTCGCTTGTAAATCTTCCAGCTTTTGCCACAGAATTCAATCATACAAGTCAATGAAAACGAAAGAGATTTAACGAAATATTTATGATGAGAGTCGATTCTATCCAGATTTCATTATTCTCTTTTTCTTTTTAGGAGGGGGGGGGCGGCTGGGAATTTAGATCATTCGCAACGGATAAATAGATATTTTCAGCCTTTGTATTTCGCTTAATCCTCTTTTTAAATAAGCATAATTAATCAAATAGTTGAAGTGTAAAATTTATGGGATTAGTTTGATCTGATTTGAAAGGTACAGTTTTGATAAATTGCTGGGATATTTTTTGTTTCGGTTCTTGAAAATATCTTAAATTTATTGATTTAGCTAAAAACTATATATTTAGTTCAGCCTAATTTATTCAAGTAATGATCTAACTAAGAGTATTTAGCGTAGTCACTGAATAATTTTACCTTTTGATTCTCAGTTGATAAATCATTGCTTCGAGTCTTTATTATGTATGTTTCGATCTTGACCTATTAGTTTGTATTGTTTTCTACCTAATAGTTCATTGTACTATGTTTTCACAAAAATATGCAAATGTATCATGATCATGATGAGTATCAATATGGTACTAGATGTTACTGCATAACCTATCAAGTAACCAACAATTATATGAAAAATGATGAATTCAGCATAGCGATTAATATGAGGATAATGTATAGATGCATTTACGCCACTGACATTGATTCCAAGTCATATTACTTCGACTCTCCAATTATATGTCCCAACCATCTAAATAGATGAAGGTTCACAACTACATCATCTGACTTTCCTATCCCCTTAAAACTCTACGCGTGTTTTGTATAATACTGAGGCGGTGACACCAAGACAGGCAACGGTGATCAAATATCAGAAGTTTTCTCATCTACTCTAGCTTTATAAGTCATGTCTCACAACCATATAGTCGGAAAGAGTGAACTGCAGTTCAGTTCACTTGACTCGTAATAAACATTCAGATATCTTGGCAGCTCCACAGATTGAGTAGGTCAGTGAAAGTAAATTGAACCTTTCGTATGCATCCTGATGTATGTGTGTTTATTGGATTTTCAAGACTATGAAGGATTAATTGATGAATAGAATGGAATTTGAGCAGTAACAATACTTTTCTTATTAAAATTTTTAAGTTATGAGTATACTTTGAATAGACTAGACTATAATACACAAATTACAAATACTCAAGAAAATCATTGTGGCTAGAAAATGACAGACATTGAACAGTTCAATGACTGTTTTTTTCTAAACGATAGGGCAGTGAAGAACCACTTCATAAAGCATTTTAAAAATGAAAGAAATAAGCCATTGGAATATACTTTGTTCTTCTCCTTTTTTTAGCCTTGTTTAGATCTGTTCTCCACAACCTGTCAATCAGATTATATTGACTGAACTTACTAGTGTCTTTACATCAAATCATTTAATTTAACAGTTCAACTCAAGGTATAAAGTGTCTGAAAGCACTCAAGGTTAGTATGAATGATACAGACTTCCTTTTTGTTGCGGACCCTTGAAAATGGAAAAGCTAACTTTCGGAGAACCTTATGACATGCATAACTGGTACAATAACCAAAGAAACTAACACATAGGTAACAGTTTGTATCAGTTTTGTAACAGGCAGTGCTTGTATTTAATGTAACCACATCATCGTATTCAGTAGATATAAGTAATATAGTGTCACTGGTGGTAGATTTACAGTTGGGATCTTCATTTGACTGTTTATCACCTCGAATAAATGAAAATTAGTCAAGCCTTATAAAACAGAAAAAAATTGGATAACTGTCAGGTATTCATTCTCCACTTGCTTTGAGATATTGGTGACCTATATTGTTATCAAGTTGAGTCTGGGTACGAATACTCGCTGATAGCATTCCTTGATGGTTGTACTATACCATGAATTGTTAGAATTGGGAGATAATGGACTATCGGATTAATACCCAGCGAATAAATGATGGCATGCTCACTACGAGACGCGATGGTCATTGGGTCGGTCTTTCTAAAAGTCGTAGATGCACTGCTGAGAAGTCCACCATACTAGGAAAAACAACTGTCCTGGTTCTTCTAGGTTTTTAATGTTTCTCTGGCTATACTATATACGGGAATAGCTCAGTGGTATAGGGAGATGATAACCAACCATTAGGTCAAGGGCTCGTACCCCGTTCTACTCACTGACGTTTAGACAACCAGGTTTTTATCACTAAACCTTACACAATAATAGGTGTGACTCATTGCCTACTGGACAGATATACACCTAGTGACTGAGTGCGTTTCATACTAACCTGAAGTAAAAAAAACAACCAAGTATCGCGAATCAGTCTTTTATTGTTAATTTCATTTATTTTTATTACCGATCCGTTAGATTGATCGTAGCTTACTCATGGAGACACAAATTCAAAACTTAACCGCTACTCCAATTGTACTGGAACGTGTCTTATTTGAGCCTAATCCTCAATTCAGCGTAAACGATCTGAACAATCTTCAGTTTGGTAGAAAGTAAGTTACCTCTTCATGTTTCATACGTATTTTATGATATGGTCTTAAATATATCTACATCATTTCTTTGGTGATTTTTATTATCATTAATATCAACAGAGGACCAGGCATTACTGCGTACCTTCCAACTTGCCACACCTCATATCAGTACATCAAGTAGAAAGGTAGTGAGGTGGAAGATGAAGAAAAGAGAATTCACTCAAAAGAAATATAAAGTGTGAAGAGAGAGAAAGGAAGAATGAGAAAATGGTGAGATTCGGTATAGCGTCGTTAAGATGACGATAATGTCTGTGTATGTATAGATCTGTGCTACTCACATCGGTTCTCAGCCATGTGATCACCTAGAGTCAGTCTCCAACCACTGGTTCCTCTTGTCCTGCGAACCCCAACCGGCTAGTCTGCATCGCCCCACATGGCTCAAACTAACAGTCAGAGACTTCATGCATTGGTGCCATGTTTTAGTCTGGTCACGTCGGGCCTTTCTCCAGCCTGGACCTACATCGGCCAACATTGTGTGACGAGGCGATCGGCGACTAGACATACGTAACACAATTCGGAGGCAACCATGTGAGTTGATGAAAGTTCATAACCTTGTCAACTGATTTACCTCTTCTCCCTGAAACTCTTTACCTGACTTCTGTATAACTCACGTGGTGACACCACGGAATACGGCGTATACTAAGAAGGCGAAGGTGGTGAAACACTTGAAGCCAGCCTTTTCATATCTTCCACCTTCAATGGTCATGTTTCACAGCCATACCGAACTTCTGTGTATATGCATTGCATGCGAATTTTAGGAGACGATAGGATATCACGGCGGTGACGCTATAAGTGGCGTAAGTTGTCAAAAGCCAGTCGAGCCTTTTGTATCTGTTCAGAGATTTCATCGGCCACCGAGCCACGAGGTCAGGGTTGATCCTACTTCCCAGGTAAGTGAAGTGATCGACACACTATCTATTGTTAACCGTGGCACCATTGAAGACCAATTTTGGAGCGACAGTTTGCATTTGGGTGGTGAGAAACTCATCCCAAACATTCTCAAACCTCCAGCCAAAGTGTTCTGAAGACTCTGCATCTCATCAGTCAGCGTCTTCACCCAACAGGACTGACTATGTCATCTGCATATTGTCGGTGTGATGAAAATTCTCCTGTGAATAGGTCAATGTCTATGTAATCAGGTGACGAGAGGTAGACCTGCATGAGAATATGTGTGATAGAATTGAATAAGAATGAAGGTAGTGGGGACCCTTGATGGAGACTACTCGATGAGTACAGGTCACGTGACATGTCATCATAGGGTGTAACAGGCCCATATGTGTTTGAGTAGAGAGCCATGAACAAGGTGATGTAGTTACTTTGCACGCATTTCAGTGAGAGACATTGCCATAAGACTTTTCGATGAACGGAGTTGAATGCCGCCTTCAGGTCAAGAAATTCAGCTGGTGTTAGTTGTCGGTAAGCGTGTCTATGTTCCAGGACCTGGTACATTGTTAATATTTGGTAGATACACCCGCGGCCGTTTCCTAAAGCTTGCCTAGTTTTCTCGGGCTTGCTGTTCTCGAGCTCCACTAATTCGTCGGGGAATTCTAGGACTTAGTTTCTTGGACACTATGTTCGTGGGGTTGTTTCCTCTGTGGTTATCATGGGAGGACTTCTTGCCTTTCTCGAAGCCTGAAATATTCAGTGATTTAGACCAGTTGGAGTGGATCCTACTTGATTCCCGTAAACTGATTAACCTTCTGTTAACCTGACTAAGAGAGGTGCTCATTTTGTTTTGCTCGGAATTCATCATTTTGGTGCACCTGCATCTAGATGAATAATGATCATTTCTTGAAACTTAGATTCCACATGGATCACTTTAAAATGTCATTCACTGAATCACGAGTCTAAGTGTTGATTATTCAGGACCTATATGCATCATGTTGCCAGTGGTTCTTGAAAGAGAACGAATACAGGCTGTTAGTGGGATGAAATCAATACTCTCTGACCCTTACCTTTTGCATTTATGTGGTGATCATGCTTTGACATTCTAAAGACCCAATTGATTAAAACACCTGTTTTTGAGGTCCCGACGCTGCCAGAAAGGTTCATGGTATAGTGGTAAGACAAAAAGAAGTTATCGTCACGATGTCAATAATTACGTTATGATGGGAATCCTAGAGCTAAGTCATATTTCTTGCTAAACGGGGTGTGAAAGCAGTTTAGAGTTTCCCGCAGATGATGCTAGGCAGCTGGAAAGTACTAACTACCTTCCTGCACTATGCAAAACCCAATCAATTTGGTATCGACTCGAGAAGTACTCGAGTATACTGTCATGCTCTGTCCTGCTTTCTGGTTGGGAGACACGGGTGTTAAAAGTGAAAGATATGAAGAGACCACAGGTTTTGGACCGTAGGTATCTTCATAGCATCGCCCACCTACGGTAAAATCACCATGTGAGTAATGTAGACGTTAGATAAAAGGTACTAGGGAAGGAAGGCAGGTCAGTCAATGAGGTTGTGGACCTTAAGCGAATGTGGTGGCTTGGACATGTGCTCCTCATGCTGAGTCATCACCTACGTTGATGTGCAATCCTAGTGGAAGTTGGATTAGGTTGAAAGAGGGTTCAGGTTAACCAGACCGAGATGTGACACTAATCCATGAAGTATCTGACTGTTGGTTTGGGCCGTGTAGATATATCTATACTACTGGAGTGGGGTCCTCAAGACTATGGGAATCAGTTGTTGAGGATTCTTGGTGACATTGCAGATGTATTCACTCTTCGACATCTTCCATAGCTTGAATATTTACACTAAGCTTTATCTTAAAGCTGCTTATTCTCTCATACACCTTTGTCTGCTTTAATGTCAATCTTCTATGCGCTTTTTCTTTGAATGCTGCTGCAAAATGTGGCAACTTGAATTGATCCAGCTGTGTGCTTGGTTTTCCATTGGTGTTGTCTATTTCCCTAATGGTCGATCACCTCATGGTTTTCAAAGCCTCCAGTTCGTCTTATTATGTAACTTAAGACATTGATCATTTAGAGTATACATCGGTGTAATTCGACGTAAATGAATGATACTGAAGTTTGATTCACAGTGGAAATTGGAACAGAGTCGACGGAAGGTTTGAGTTACTATTGTATTGGTTCCTGAAACGTCTTTATTCTTTTTCTTCGGATTAGAGTTTTGTATCAGCTCGATATGCAAAAGATGACTGCGAAGCAGATGATGACTCACTGTGTTGTCCTATCAGTGTATTGAAATTGTAAACAGCAGTCTAGTCTCAATATTGTTTACTCAGTATTCTTGAATTTCTCCGGGCTTTTGTTGTAGGGAGTTACTGATAAGTAAATCAATAAGGTTTTAGGGCGCTAACTTTGCTGTACACATTCGATTTTCAGGTTTGTGCAGATTCATTGATTTCAAGTTGGTATTCATCATGGACAGACATCGGTTGGAGAACCATTGGAAACCTGAGAGCACTGGACGACTGTTTCGTCCTAGTTTATGACTCCTCAGCGATGCTCTCCAACGAACCCGTTTGGTACCGAACGCAGGACTTTCGGTGTTTGTGGCGAGCACTTTACTTTTGGGTCACTCGGTCGGAAGGCAGTGAGTTCGATCCTTGGCGAGACTGGGTGCGCACTGCTCAGGAGTCTCCTACGGGGACGGAATAGCTTTTCGGTGCTACCAGATTTTCAGTGGTTCTCCAACTAATGTCCATCTGTGATGAACGCGCACTTGTAGTATGAAGTTGTAATTTCTAAAGTTGGTCGATTGTTTTCACTGATGGTGAAACTTATATGATATTCCCTTTCAACGTCTAGTCAAGGTTGAAAACGTGAGATTTTGTAGTGTAAGACAACTTGAATCGTTACACATCAATGTCAGGTCTCATACTAACAAAAACTTGTATATGGACTTATTAGTCCAAAAGCTTTCTGAATTAGTGTTTATTAGCTTCAAGTAACGTAATCTTCAGTTACTTTTCCAATAAGAAGTAGTCAAAAATGGAAATCAATGTTTCAAGTCATTGGCCTTTGGGGTAAAAGTGTTTCTGTTTCAGATTTTGATTTATGTCCATATATGGACAAAATAACCTTATTGGACGATTCCTTATATGATATAGCCAATAAGATTGTGTTATTATATCTTTGACTTAGGACATTTTTATTTGTGTGAGAATTGTATACACATGCTACAGGTTATCAAATGAAGTCATCGTTCTCACAGTCACTGGTCAACCTTTGTTTTTTGATATTTGGGTGACTCAGTGCAGAATAAAGTGCTGAGGAGGGAATAGTCATACCGACATTCAGTTCTAGTGTATCAATGCGTTTAATATCGTTATTAACTACGTTCTTTCACTAGTGACTGTATTCTAAGTAACTTTTAAGTACACGTGTCTTGTTTTATGGCTGTGCAAAGGAGGAGACACGAAGCGATTATTGAGTTTTAGTCACAGATATCTTCACATTATTGCTCGCGTTTGGTGGAATCACTGTGCCAACTAGGTTAAGGTTAGGTGAAGGATACTAGACAAGACAGGCAAGTTGATTGGTGAAGTTGTCAACCTTTATTGACTGAGTTAGTTTGCACGTGTACCACGAATACCAAGCCACCATCTACTTCGACTATCGACCATAGTAGGAGAAGTTAGATTAGGCTGTGAGAGGGTTTAGGGTAGCCAGACCAACGTATAGTACCGGTCGATGAAGTTCTTGACTGTTATTCTAAGCCGTCTTAGGAAGTTGGGGTCTTTGAGACGAAAGCAATCAGTGGTTAAGGACTCTTGGTGAGATTGCTGAAAATTGGTTACAGTGGTGCTCTCTTTGATGTCTTATAAAGCTTCAGTATTCGCACTATCCGTTATTTTCAAATTGTTTATTCTCTCGCACTTGGTTATTACTCTTTTTTATCCACTTATTCTTTGTATACTACCGTGAAATATGACAACTAGAATCTATAGAAGTGTGTACACTTCAATAACATGGATTAGAGGTAGAATTATCGAACTATTTTCGTTTAGTTGTTTCTCCAGCCTGGAACCGCGAAGTTGAGGATGATGAAAGATATCCATCCAAAAGTGACAAACAATAAAATTGGATTTTGAGGGAGTTTATGGGGATTTGGAAACATTTCAAGTTGTTATTCATCGTGAGCTAACAGAAGTTGGAAATATGGATGGATTGGATTCGGACCCAGTGGCTCAATGGCAACATGCTAGTCACAGGACCTGAAGGTCGCGACTTTGATTCCTGGCAGGGTAGTGGGTGCGCACTGCTGGAGAGTCTCATACTAGGACGAGACAACTGTCCAGTGCTCCCAGGTTTCCTTTATTCCTGCAAGTGATGTCAGTCTGCGATGAATAACAACTTGAAACAATAAAGTTAGTCATTTGTCGCTGCTCTGGTTTGTAGTTGTTATTTTTGTGATTATTACACTATGCTGGTTGAAACAAAGTCTTACGGGTTGATGAAATGTCTTAAGCATTCGAGGATAATATTGAAGATGTGATCCATTGGTGATATCAGATTTTGTGAGCGTTAGTCTTTAAATAACCTCTTGTCGTTAAAACATAAAGGTGTAATATTTGAATGAACTATATTTTTAAAATATATTCTCTTACTTTCATTTCATAGATCTCTGTCTTATACTACTCCAACATACTACCACTACTACTACCTGCAACCGAATGATGTACAACAATTTGTGTATCGTTTAATGCCAACAACTACAAATCCTCTGCCTTATATGAATTCATCAACAATTTCATCGTTGGCTATGTCATCATCTTTGCCTAATCCAGTACAAGTTTCTTCTATGACCAATCATCAGTTGTCTATATCAGCTGGATGTTTAGATATTACTTGGAGATCAGTTATGGGTGAAAGAGGTCGATTACAAACTAGTCCTTTAAAATATGAGGTTAGTTCAATATCTATGCATATATGGTTCATTTTATAGTTTCAATTATTGTGATAGCTAGCAGTTGAACACTGGCTTAGATGTTTCGTACTGTCTCCGACTAATCAACTACAGATGACTACATTGCAATGGTTGTTTGCACTCTAACTAAGACCGGAACTTATTACGTAATATTATCCCAGGCTGCTGAGTTAAAATCTTCAACTCAAATTCATTCAATCAGCATTTATCTAAGACATGAGAAAGCTAATTGGTAATAACCTTATAAATGGGTAATTAAAGCATTGAAAGTTTCAAACAGGAAGAAACGTGAAAGCTGGATTCCACTGTGAGTCACCAAGATGCATACAATATCATAAATATCCACTATTATAGAGGCATCTACATAGGAGTCCATCTACCAACAGAGGTCGAGCAACTCGACCCTGTATAGCAGCGGGAAATGATAAGTATCAAACAGCAACAAACGATACATGCTGGACAAGTAGTGGTTCTTGTCCTCCAGTGGCCTGGTGAATAACGCTTTGGAGTTTGAGGCGATGAATACTGCGTTTGGGTCTCAGTGGGGTTGAAATCACTCACTCGGGTGCAGGAGGTACATCCAGTTGACGAGTGATTCCTGAATGCTGTAGAACGCATGTACTGGATTCCAAGATGAATACAAAGCATTGAAAGTATGTTGACTACAGATCTATGTGTTACTTTTTGTGCTACATATTCAAACGTACACAGTAGGAGTCAGTAAGTGCCAACCAGTATATGACCTTATGTCGTTGCAAAATGTTTCAAATTGCCACATCTCATATCAGCACATCAGCATACACAACAGCAGTATAAGAGATGGATTGATCAGGAAGAATGTAATCGAAAGTCGTAGAAAGTTATATAGCGAAACGAAGGGGAGATAAAATAATAATGAAATTTGATAGGGTGTTAATGTACGGATGCATCTACGCCAGTGAGATTCATTCCAACTAGTATCACCTAAAGTCTCTAACTATTGATTTCGATCGTCACACAGACCCTAACCGACAAGTCTTCATTCGCCTACACGGCTCAGACTGACCACTGAAGATTTCATGAATTAACCTTTTTCCAACCTAATTTTACTTCAACTAACATTGCCCGACGAGGTAGACGGTGACTTGACATGCCTATCACATGTTCCAGTTATTTACTTCGATGAAGATTCATGACTTCATTAGTTGACTATGCTCTCCTACTCCAAACTCTACTGTTGACTTCTGCGTTACTGACGTTATGGCATCAGTACACTTATCCTAAAGCTTATCAAACACTTGAAACCTTTTGTCCTCTATCTCACCGTATCTGTGATTGAGTAAATATCTTCCTAATTATTATCCTCAGTAAAACTGATGAACGGCAGGATTTCTGTGACATCACTGAACACGTACATCACATTGTATCGAATAAGTTCAAGTTTTGGGATGCTTTGATGGACAATAGGGGTAGACTTGAAGGTAAGCTTGACATCAAGTGATGTTCGTGTGATCACTAGTTCTGAAGATATATTCACGCTTTGACTGTAACAACAAAGATACTACTTTATATCCTAATTACGAATTTAACTAATGATCAAACACAGCGCTCTTTTATAATGCAGATATTGACAGTGAAGGGGATACAGTTAATTCATCCTTCGTAGTCATGGTCGAGTGCAGAAGGTAACTTAGTTAATGATGTTATAAATAGCTGTTTTACTTTATTTTATTATCTCACTGGTATAATCCATTGACAAACAGACCTTTACACTATTTCGCTAAGTCGTAAATTACTTCCCTTTATCGATTCTACTCGATTAATGAGAAATAGACGCTTAGGACAAATAAGACTGAAGTTTTATTACTTGGATAGGGGCAGTCGACAAAGCGCTCTTCTGCAACTACACTTCACTTCACCAAGAGCTATCTGTGACCTCGAGGGGACTGGTCTCATCTGAGAGATTCGAACCTGCATTACCCATTGCTGCAGTCAGTGACGTTACCACTGAGCTATTTGGGACTCACTAGCCGGATGTACCTGCCTCCCAGTGAGTGATGTTGTCCCCACCGGGTTTCGGACCGAGGACAGGTCGCTTCAAACTCCAGAGCGTAATCCACTAGACCACCGCTCTACGATAGCCACTCCCTGTACTACGGTTATAGTTTTGGTATTATTACTTGTATTATACCGTCGTTGACTGGACCTAATTGATTGATCTCTATTTGCATTTGGGCTCCTGTGCGGATGCCTGGATATTACTTGTGTTCTTATTATAGTAACGATAAATAGTGGCTAGTAGTGAATTCTAGGAAATGCATTTCGTCCTATTTGAGATTCAGCTGGATGTGCCTGCCTCCCAGTGAGTGATGCCGTTTCCACCGGGATTTGAACTCGGTTGCCTAACTTGTTGCGTAACCGATATTTTGTCTAATAGTAACTGACGCGAAGACAGTCGAAAAGGAATTGTTACGCCAAGGGGTAAATTGTTGACTGTAATTTGAGGCAGCAGGGGGAGAATAAGATAGTTAAAACTGTAGTAATAATAATTATCATTAGAGAGAGGTATTAAAATACTATTTATAATCATCTGTGGGATGAGTGGAAGGAATGGTCTTGTTGTAATAGATAAGCTTTACAGATGGCTGAGGCAAAGAAAGAGGTTGTACTAATTTCTTCTGAACACACAGATTTAACTTGTTTAGGTGGATTCTTTTGACTTTTACTGTTTGTAAAAGACGAACTCGTAGAGCATTGGTGAAGTTAGAAAAAGTTTGATAAATAACTTTAATGGCGTTTCATTAAACAATTCTCACCATTATGTTTTCCATTGAAAAGATTGATCATTTTTGTCCATATATATTCTTCTCCCCTTTCCTTTCCCCCAGCTTCCCACTATTGGAGATATTCAACTCAAAGCTTCAAGTCTTCCACCTACTGTCACCACAGAACGACCATTTAAAATGAAATTTGAACTGGTAAACTGCAGGTATGTTTTAGCCCAGTTATTATTGTCTGATACTTGTAATCTCCCTTTGCTATACTGCGTTGAGTTGGTCGACCTCTTTTGGCAAATGGGCTCCTATGAGGATACCTCGATACTTCCTGATTGATCATTATGCTGCAATCTTTTTGGTGGCTAGCAGTGGGATGTAGGATGCGCTTTTCGTTTTATTTGAAACTATTCAGCTGGGTTGACTGAAATCCCAGTGACTGATTTTGTTCTCATTGAGACAAAATGCGCGTCTTAGATTCCACTGCTAGCCATTAAGTATAAGCAACACAATGAGCAATCGCGCGTTATCGAGGGATCCACATAGGAGCCAACCTGGTAACAGAGATCGAGGGATTCGACTCAGTATAGCAAAGAGAGATTACACGTATCAAACGCCACCTAGTACCTAATAGATTGTATGTAAGTATAGACTGTTTCTTTATGAAATTCAATTTTACAAATGAACAGAAAAAGAAAGTTGTATTGTATGATATGACTGTGGGCAATAAAGTGTTTTTGAAATAATACTATGTTTTGATATATTTAAATAATCAAATAACATGGAATTACATTCGACCATAGTGCTTAGGTTTCACTCTTCTGTCAACTTATCTTGTTTAACTTTTATGCAACTATGTCTCTTTTCTTTTCTCTGAAAAGAAACAATATACTGTACACTGAAGGAAGAGTTCCACCTCATTGCTTACTGATGATGATATCCCCCAAGGTCCCATCCTTTCCTCCAGTCTTCTCTCCTTCTTTCTGTATGATTTATCAACTTTATCAAAAATATTGTTTCACGTTATCACCTTTGACGCTGTTATTATGAACATCATTTTGTTTAAAAATATTGTTCTGGATATAAATTTGTTAATTTGTTGCGTGCAGAGAATTCCGTACCGTACTAAACATATGGCTTGGAATTAAGCTATTCATATAACTATTATCACTATTAGTATTGATAGTATTATGATTATTTTTTAAAATTGTTATTAGGGAATGTTACAAGTGTGATTTATCTCGGTTTTGTTTTTCTTTGGACCCTTTCTTGTTCTTCCATATGTTACTAATTTCAAAAAGAATCTTCCGCCCAACTTAGTATTTCAGGAAGCTGAAAGCATCTGGTGTAACTCAGACGCTACTTTGATGTTTTATAAACTCCCGTACCTTGTCTATTCCCCTCTATTCTTCTACTTTATTCTTCCATGGCCTACCGAAAAAGGAATATGCTGTATTGCCTAGAACTTTGAAGATTTTAAACAGAACTAGTGGTGTACCTTTAGGTTTTCTCATGAATACTGTTGTAGACAAACATCTTAATTCATATAAACATCTAGCAAGAGTTATTTAATCAGATAACCAGTATCCTCACCTATCTGCGTATTGGTTTTCAGGCAAGACCAGGAGCTAGTATATGAGGCGTAATCCATGTACTACTTAATATAAAAATTCTACAATACCGTATTTAGTTCGTATCCTGTGCGAAAAACAAAGTATTAGAAATGAACTGACTAATCAACTTCTGTTTTTGAAAACAAACTAATTAATGAGTACACAGCTTGTATTGTATCTAATTGCTAATGTGATTGTTTGCTTCAGTCAACTCTACATCTTTGAGAAAGTTGTAGATGGAGTAAATATTCTTATCTTTTAAATATGTAATTACTACCCATTTAATTTTACTATCACCGATGATCTTTGTGATTGTGGTGGACTGAATCATGCAGCAAACAGTGAGGAGCTGTGAGAAGAAGGGTATACTCTGGCTGGACCTATGAAAAGAGCCTAGAAGATTTGGATTTCGCCGATGATGATTTATGTCTAATGTCTTGTCGCACAAACTCGAAGATCTAGCGGCGAAAACTAACAAGTTGATAGAAGAGGCAGCGAAAATGGGACTTCAAGTGATTGTAGAGAAGACAGAGGTGATGAAGATACCCAACCAATAACAGTATCAACAACAAGCACCAATCACCATTAATTGGAGAAACTTAAGGGAAGTAGCCTTTTTCACCTACATAGACAGCATCCTTTCAACTACAGCCGCCACAGACGAGGATGTCAAAGCCAGGATCGGTAAGACAGTGAGACAGGTTTTCATTAATCTGAAATCAGTGTGGAGATCTACTGCACTCAACACAAAGTTTGAACAAGATGCTCATTTTCAACATTAATTCAGTCAAGTCAGTGCTTCTATGTGATGGTTCAGAAACTTGGCCTGTCACGGAAAGCATACCCTAGTAACTACAGACATTCATCAACAGCTGCCGCCTACGCTAACTCCATACTCAAGATCAGATCAGATGTCCAGGAAGAATAAGCAACAAGGAACTCTGGCTGGCTGGCAACGAACCAACCAACCAAGAACCCATCGCCCAACAAATATGTAGAAGAAGAGAAAGGAGATGGATTTGGCGTACACTGAGAAGGCTGACTGGGGACTTCACGCGCCAGGCCGCCGAGTGGAATTCAAAGGGGAGATGACGAGTTGTGCCTCCGAGGGTGACATGGAGGAGATTATATGAGGAAGAAATGAAAGCTTGTGGGGAGTCGTGGTGCCAGGTTCAAAAGACTGCAGAGAAGAGAGTGGAATGGAGACGTGCCACTGAAGCCCTATGTTCCACTAGGGACCCAAAGGAAAAACAATAATAATTATGCATACTTAGAAACTGTTTGATGCTATATGATACGCTGAAAATTCTGTACAGTATTATAGAAATATCTTTCAGAGCATCGGGCCATAAACCCCGGTGGTCGCTTGTTCGAATCCGGCCGCTGTTCAAATTTTTGTTTTACCTTCAGTTCTCACCCAGTATAAATTATTATTATTGTTATTTCTTCACAGCAAAACAAATTTGGACTTGGTTTTAAATCTTCAATCAACTCAAAGTTGTATGTCTTCAATCAAAGCTAACTCGCCAACAAACGAGGAGGAGGTCATCTCATCTGATAATAAACAAATTTTTGTGTTGAATTCATCTGTTAACCAGACGGGTTTACCGGCGATTGTCTGGCTGGGTAGAACAAGACAACACCTTGGTAAACTTTCACCTGGTCAGTGTATTCCATTCGAATTAAATTTAATGGCTACTTCGCCTGGATTACATGTAAGTCGGAAGTACTCGAGTGTTGTTCATTGATGTTACCCCCTTGCAATGGTGTGAAATTTCCATCTTTTCGGATGGTTCTGAGAACAAGGTAGTACTGAACACCTGTCGCTTAGCTAAATTCGGTCATATTCTTTGAGTTGAACACATACACTCCTATGTCAGATGGGGGTAGTCCAAATGATGTATGGTAGTTTCACTCGTTTTGGACATGAGCTCATCAGCGGTGTACTCGAAAGAAAATTCAGCTCACAGAGGAGCTAAAATTGGTTACGTCACATAAATTTGGTTAGCTGGTATGTGTGGACGTATGCCATGCTTAAAATAGGATGGTCAATTTGTAAATGATTTACAAACTACACGGTCCACGTCGTCATTTCTCACAGTTTTTTTCAACTGTCCAACTGTGGTGTGAATAAGGTTTCCGTTGTTGACTAACCCCAAATCGAAGGTCACAAAATGTGATTTCTGACAAAAACGTTTCATCTACTAATGAAATCTACAGATCAACCTCAATAGTTTCTAATTACTCGAATTATCAATGAAAACTCTGTTTACACCATATTTAGTTAGTTGAGAGACTACTCAGCTGTGAGAAATGTCAAAGTGAACCATGCCATTTTGTAAATTATTTTGTAAGTCGTATTGTAGTAGATGATCTAATCCAATAATTCAACAGAATGGTTCTTTGATAAGTTAAGTCGCTTCTAAATAAAGTTGTATATCTTAAGATAGAATCGACACTTATAATTGACTATTCCATTATTTTCTTGAGGAAAAGGGTAATAAACAAGCCAGACTGAATGACTGTACCGATATTATACCCTATAAAGCAGTTTCTCAACTACTGAAACTGGAAGAAAGTGAATATATATATATATATATATATATATATATATAAGATGCATGTAAGGTAAGGGGATAACCAACTAAAGATTAGGGGCCCAACTACTCAAATATCAAGCACTATGATTCTATTTCAGATTTACCTTACATTACTTCAACTTTCCTTGTTGGATGATATTGTAACCCATCACAAGTTTTCTTTGTCTCAACACTTTCTACACATATCTGTTACTCGCAGAGTAAATAAAAATGCCTATGGATGATGTGATATCTGTTGTATACATAAAACTGTTCAAATGACTGGAAAAAGGAGTTTCGATATTATTATCAAGTTACTTATGAAATGTAATATACCTGAAGGTTATGATTGGTCACACATTGACCCTACTATTACTGTGCTTTTAAATTAGCCACAGATTAATAACAATGGTAATAATGATAATCGCTTTATTGCAAACAATATGTGTATGAGAGTGTGGAATTCTCAGCTTGTAATTTTTCAAAAAATTCATTCCCAGAACAATAGTTTCAGACTAAATAGTTATTACATCTGCATGATGTTAATAATAATAGTATTCGAGGCAATAATGTGAAGAAATAGCCAGCTGGTTTTGGATGAGCGTCCTGTCTATAATGAAGAATCAACAGAAATCCAATCGTAAGTTTCTTGGTGATGGGTTCATTCATCTGGTACAATAATCTGCAACTCAAGTTAAGCATCCGATGGATAGAAATATGATATGCTTTTGTGCATTGAAAAGTTCACTTCTATATCATGTAACAGTTTTTTCTCTGTATTTTGATAGACTCGAGAAACAGAGAGTTGGGAACAGTTTAAAAATGTGCCAGAATACATGATACGTTCAAAAGACATATTTAAATGATTAAAACAAATTAAAAGAAAAGAATTTGATGAAAAATGTTTGGTGGATAATTTTGGTAGCCCAACATTTTAGCATGCCACCGGAAATACTTACACGTCATCAATCGTCAATTACCATAGAAATAAGATCTTAAGTTTACTTCTCACTAACCTATCAATAATGAATACCTATCTAGTACAAAGATCTACATCGTGCAACATCACCTAACATCTGTCAGTCAAACAGTCAGTATTGACGTAGGACCTGGGATAACTCCCACACTTCATATCAGGCCATCAAGCATGAATGTTTCAGGATAGAAAAACAAGTCGGAAATGAAGTAATCGAAAGTGATAGAAAATCGTGAAAAGTGAACAAGTAGGAATGAGGAGAAAATGAAATTTAGTGCAATCATTAAGATGACGATAGTGTGTGGATACAGCTATGCCATTGTGATCGATTCTGAACCATATCATCTAGACCTTCACATGGATTCGAACCGGGGAGTTTTAATTTCTATATTCCACTCACATCAACAGTCAATAACTTCATGCATTCATGTAATGCTTTGGTCTGGCCAACTTTTGACCTCGTTTTAGCCTGAATCTACTTTAGGTAACATTGTGAGGCTAAGTAGATGGGGACCAGACATACGAAACACATGCCCCAGCCACCTGAGCCGAAAAAGATCCATAACCTCATCAACTGAATTTTTCATCCTACCTTAAGCTATGCGCTGTACTTTTGCGTTACTGACGTGGTGACACCATGACACATATCCTATGTTATGGAGGCAGGTATGTTCGAACACCTGAGGCCGCCTTTTCGTCTCCTCTACTGTTAACAGTCATGTTTCATAGCCCTATTTTAAAACAGACCGAACTGCAGGATGGTACACTCGATCCTCAATAGACATCTGGATATCATAGCGGCGCCACATATGGCGTAAGACGGCGATAACCAAGCAAGCCTTTCATATCCGTATCGAGATTTCTTTTTTAAAACGAAAATTGCATATGACTGAAACCTGTGTTCGTCCCAGCCCCAATGTTTATCACTCAGCAATTTGAGGATAGGATTACTTTTGACACTGTTAAATCATAGTTGACCAAATGTCATCTGCTTTTATCACTCATATCTCAGGTTTACACTGTTGCACTGGTTACTCATTCCTAAGTGAATAGATTTTATTGGCTAACGACTCCTTAGGATTATTGTGAATACCCAGGCAAACTGAGTTTTAGATAAGCTCAATTATTTCATTCCGCTTGTTGGAATAATAAGCATGTGATGGTCCAATGTCGAAACATCAGTTTGCATTCAGTAATTGGAAAACAAATACGTGAGACTGTGCAAGCAGTCCTTTAGGTGGAAAAGGTCGCCTCCAGAAAGGATTATATACCATTCATCTTCCATTTCATTGTTCTTGTATTATTCAGTGATAAGACTTTTAATTATGTGAGTTGTGCTATACAAATTTCCCACAGCAACATTTTCAAACATGGCGTGTGTGGTCATAATGTTGCTAGGTTCCCTTCAAACTATTTTGTTATTTGTATTAGTGGAAACAACATTGCTCACTGGGAGGCAGGTGCATCCAGCTGACGAGTTCCCAATTGGATGAAACACGCGTCCTGGATTCTACTGCTAGCCACTATCCATCCTTCAAACTGTTTGACTCTCTAAGTAAGGTCAGTTGCCAAGTTTATTACTGAAACTGAAGTTTAACTCATTTGAATAACCCATAAGTACATCAAGTCACTTGCTATTGTCACCCAGAAAGACCAGGAACCGAATCTAGATGTTAATACTTCCGCCAGCAGTGAATGATCCAAATTCAAGCAAGCGCTCCCCAGAAAGAGTATTCTGACTAACAGGATTCACTCAATATGTTGTTGCATACATGTGTGTCGATTCTTGGATTGACGAAAATTACTGTAGAACGGTTTTCCACGCTTTCAAATCACTCAATGGAATTAATCCATATTTTTTTCAGTTAACATTCAATCATTCAGCTAGTTCATCTCGATATGGAATCTAGGATTGGTGCGTAACGCTTCAACTTACTGCCTCTCATATCAGCATATCACAAAACTAGGAATCTGGATGAAATAGAAAGAAATATAAGTGATAAAAGGCTGTATGAAGCCATAAGACAAAGAAAAAGGTGATTTGACTACCTAAGATATCCGTAGTTTGGCAGACTAGTATTTATTACTGGGTGATGATTGTCGAACCAGCGATCACTGGGTTTCCAGATCGATACTCCACCAAATGAGCTACTATGTACGACCGATGACCAGATTTTTATTTCCTTCAATCACAAATGGGGTTCTGCGCGACTACAATGTGAATTTGTGACACTTAACTACCACTTGGTCAGGATGAGAAGTCCTGACTAAGTAGTCAATGTGACTACAATCAAGTGGTTGTAACACGTCATTAATACACATGGTAGTCGGGCTAAACCCCACCTTATGATTAAAGTGAAATAAAAATCTTTTCAGCAGTCAGATCTAGTAGCTCAGTTGGGTAGAGCATCCGGGCTGCCGTGCAAATTTTCATTTCACCTTCAATCATCACACAGTATAAATGAGAAGAGAGATTGAGGCGAAGTAAGAAAATTGACATATAAACTGTTAAGCGGGGATTTTCAATATACCCAAGCATGATTAAAAAGTACATTGCACTTAAAATAGTTGTCATACTAATGAGTGCAAAATAGTGTTTTATTCTTGCATAAATCCATCTGTTACTGTCAATTTGTAAGGTGTTTAGAAGTTCTTCACTGTGTCCCATGCAGTTAACCTAGATTCTTGTACATACATCAAATGCTTGATCTGATATGCACGGTGTGTATATGTGTGTCTGATTGAATCCTCTTCTGTCTAATTCATTTATTGACAAAGTACTTCACAGCAGAAACCATCAATTCTGTCACAGTTTTATTTTTGTATTGTGGATAGAGACATTGAAAGACTGATAGATTGGTGTATTTTGTGTGCACACAAGTGTGTCTGTTTGTGTAAACTAGTCCCTGCCGCCCCCTCCCCCACATACACATATGGCTTGAAATTGAGGTAGACACAAAACTGGCCTTATTATCTTAAGTAAAGCAGAAATGTCGACTTTATGATTGTTTTAAGACTAAATTAGCATGGTATACTGATATGAAAATACTGAAAAACCTGCTGCCTAAAACACGTTAAAAAACTTTCTTTCCTACAGAACTTTAGACTATGCTTTGTAGATAAAAGATCATTCAGAAATGTGTGTAGAGCAATTTACTGGATTTGATCCTGTCCATATATGTCAGCCACCTCATGCTGATATAAGCTCTGTCCAAGTGCACTACATTTACTCGATGAATAACTTTGAGTGACGAATCCCCTGAAATTTTGTAACTGGTGTTTTTAGTGGGTTCAGTTAAGAAATGTCTTGCAAGTACACTAGTACTTCTTCGTAGACATGTAGGACATTGTTCCTGAACCGTTCCCGACGAAACCGTGGAAAACCCGTTTAGCATTTTCCAACTTTCATCATTTGTGGCACCAACTGGTGAGATTTCCGACTATCTATCCAAGCATGATTATAATGTGTTGCAGTCTGTTCTGTCCTGTTATACGACTGTGAGACATGGCCGTTAAAAGTCGAAGACATGAAGCGGGTACATGGTTCTGGTCACTGGTGTTCTCGTAGCATTGCTTGCGTTTGGTGTGATTACTGTATGAGTAATACTGAGGTCACGTGAAGGGTAATAGACAAGGTAGGAAAGTTCATTGATAAGGTTTTGAACCTTAGTCGACCGAGATGGCTCATACATGTACAACGCATGCCACACCACCCCTACCTTGATGGCCGGTGATAGTGGAAAGATGAACTAGATTAGAAGAGGGTTGAGGGTTGCCAGACTCAGACGTGTCACCAGTTTATGAAGTCTCATCCTGTTGGTTTGAACCATGTGGGGAGATCTAGACTGTCTGGGTGGGGACCCTCAGATGATAGGAATCAATGGTATGAGAACTCTTGGCTGCGTGGCTTAAAATCGGTCACAATGGCGGAGATGTGTTCATTCTTCGATATCGTGCAAGGCTTGAATATTCAAACTAAGCTTTATCTTCAAGATATTCATTCTCTCATACACCTTTGTCTGTTCCGATATCAATCTTTTTCTATGCACTCGTTCTTTGAGTACTACTGTGAAGTGTGGCAAATTGAGCGAGGTTTTTCATTGATTTTGTCTGTCTGTCTGTCTGTCTCTGCATGACCGCAAAGGTGGAGTAACGGTGAATTTTGTAAAACGTCCCATAATTAAATGTATTGTCAACACACGTAGAATGCTCCCACAGAATTGACCACTTAGCTTAAGTTAGAAGTCGGAACAAACCTCGTGGGTCAGAGATTGATGAAATCTCCGCTCGGATAAAAAAACGCTTGATCTCAGCTAGTCTATATAATTTACAACATTGCCGTGACATCCGAATATCTATCAGTTCGTTCTGTTCTACTGTATATCTGTGAAACATGACCGTTAACAGTAGAGAAGACAAAATGACTCCAGTTATTCGACCACCGTTGTCTTCATAGCATAGTGCATTCATCATGGTCCGACGACTTGAGTAATGTAAAAGTCAGGTGTAGAGTTTTAGTGTGGATATGAAAGTCAACTGATGAAGTTGTGAAACTTTGTCAGCTCTGACTGTTGGGATATGTGTTGTGCATGCTTACTCTCCATCTTCATCATCGCACAATGTTACCTGAAGTAGTCTCAAGTTGAAAGAAGTTCAGAGTCTTTGAGTCCCTAAATTCATTTACTATCGTTCTGAACAGAATACAGGAATGTAGACTTGCCATTTGGGGTCCACTCAGGAACCGAAATCCAGATGTATCCACATGTTATCTTCATCTTAGTTGTCGTACTGAATTTCAGTATTTTTTTCATCTTTCTCTAGTTTCTTGATGTTTTTCTCCCAGCTTCAACTACTTTTTTTCTTTATTTATTTATGTATCATTTTGGTGCATTCCTCCCCTATGCAGTCAAATATGATGTGGTGATTTGAACCACTACGTAGTAATCCTTGATTTTATGTTCATATTGTCTATCTGTCTACTGTGTTTTGGGTAAACTTCCGTTACACAGACATATGTTTGGTATGAAAATGTTTTTCCGATCCAGTTATTCTTTGACTAGTTACGAGATAGTAAGCTATTCCATATTGTTTATTCCTGAGTACTGATTAAATATCATAGATCATTTCTTATTATGGTCATCTAGTTTGGAGACTAGTCATCGTGATACAGTTGGAAGTCGTCAAGACGAAGTTTTGAACTTATATGCTTGTTGGTAGTTTATAAAATGCCTTATATTTCTATGACTTATTCATTGACTTAGTTGTAAATGGATTTGCACATCCCTCCCTTTTGGTAGGCGTAATCAAGTATATGAACTATTCAACTGACGAGTTCTGTCGAAATTTTTATAAATTCATTACACCCCGCTTTCAATACGTTTATCGGTTGTTTAGAATATTTCCTCACTATAAACTTATTTATTTCTAATATGTATTCTCTTCAGATGATCTCTGGTGTATGCATTCATGAACTAACAATGAACAGAGATTATGAATTCAATGATCTGGCACATGTATTAGTCTTCGCTGATGTTTAATCTTCAAATCAGTTGGTGTCTTCAGTCAGCTGATGGATGATCCCCCTAATGATGATGATAATGATGTGTAAATTGGTTCATCTTATGGTTTCACTGACTTCTTACTCATTATGTTACTTGACTATTTTATTATATAATGCTAATATCTTCTTCTTGAATACTGATTGGTTGGTTGAATGAATAGGTAAAAGAAAGATTATTGTGAATGCTTTTTTAATCAGTCAGTGTATTTATTTAGGATTGCATAACAAATACAACTTGCCTATAAGTACGGAGTGGAATTCCTTATTTCTTAAAATTTAGTTGGTAATCATTAAAAATTCCCACTATAATTTAAAAGCCATTTGAGTGAGCAAAGAATATTCTCTTTGAAAACTTTTTCAGATTTTTTTTTCTCCATCGAAACTAGAGAAATGTTTTTCTGGAACGATCTATCAGAGAATTTTCATTTTACTTTCGATATATGAATGGTGGATTCATCCTATGTGAACACAACATGGACAGATCAAAGATACTCAGCAGGTTCAACGCAGTATAACCCAGCGATGAAGTTTATATATGATAAAGAGTCGAAAGGTCCAGAATATCTTTTCTTCATGTTCTTTTGTCAAGATGAACAGTTGAGCTGATAAAGAGGAAAGTGTCTAGGAAACGTACGCGGACGTGGCAATACACACATTTTCTCAGCTTCGTCCCTCTTCAATACCAACGACATTCATTAATAAAGGCTATATGTTTGGAAGCTACAATTGAAGAGGGATTGAAGACTTTGCATAACACACTAATCGATAATGGCTACCTTGATAAATTCATAAAGAAGCGTATGATTGCAAAAATGACGATAAGGGATGTTTTAAAGGCTTACACAAAACCACTTTACATTCGGGTACAATTTGGTGATGACATGCTAACAGAGATATCAATTCAGAAGCTACGTAGATCAACTTGGAGGACGTTTTATGCTTGTCAGATTAATTAATTTTTCCACCCGCCTAACAGTGACACAAACTGACCTACTGTACTGGCCACTTTCCATGATGTTTATCAGTTCGACTACTTCTGTGGAGCCTATTACGTTGACTGTTACTCTAAGAATTTGATTTCCCCTGCTCGAGAACACCTCCCAGTATGGTTAAGTAAAGGTGTGGCAAAGGTCATTATCAACTTGGTTGAAACGAACCACAAGTCGTTCTCCATTCTATATTGGGTTCCCATCAACTTATCAAAGGGTATCCAGCTCCGAATCCTTCAGACTGCAAAAGCAATAGAAGTCAGAACCACACAACTTGAGCTGTGTCTTTTGTCTTTGCAAGCACTTCTCTTCATTTCTTTGCCCAGTGTAGTGTTTTATAGGTTTTACTCGGTTCCCCTTTTCGTTGTTCATCCTTGTACTGCACTGCCTTGCAGTGGTTCATCTTCTACTCCACCATCTTCCTCTCCCTCCTCTATCAGCTTCCATGTGTCCATCGAGATCCATTCACTCCTTTGTCTTTCCTCTTCTTCCTTCCTAACACGGTTAGGCAGGTTTCCTTCCACATCTCTCTCAGGGAGTTCCAGTGTTCTTTTACGAAGGTTTCTTCGGGGATGTTGCTTAGTGTCTCCCATTTTTTTCCTGATTACTACTGGCTGACGTGAAGATGTGCTTTGTAGTTTCGTTCTTCACTTTCTCTTCTAGGTGTTCAACTTGGACTGTGGTCGTCTACTGCCAGCTTCTGTGAACGCTTTCAACTTGATTTTGAAGGTAGGTTCCTTGCACTAGATAGTGAGTTGTGTGAACCACCTAGATCTGATTCCCTTCTTGATCTGATCTTGTGTCCAGTAAACTGCATCTCCACTTTCTGCACATTAAGATGAAGTTGATCTGAAGTGGATTTTTAGTGTGGTGTGTTCATCTGGTGAAATCAAATCCATGTCGATGCCTTGTGAATATGCTTGTGTTTGTACATACTAGCTGACTCCAATCACCAAATCGTTGAATGTGCCGAAGTCTGCAAACAGTTCTCCATTTTCACTCATCATTTCACCAAGTGCTTCTCGACCCATGATAAGTTCTCTTCCTGTGTTTTCTGCTCCCAGTTTGGCATTCGTGTCACCTCACCCATTAGAATTTTGATGTCGCCAGCTGGAGTCATGTCTAGTACTGACTGCAGTTGTGTGTAGAATTCCTCCTTCTTCTCTTCATCTGCATTATTTGTAGGTACGTAGCGTAGCATTGTATGACCGTGACCTTCCTTCCTTTTGAGTTGAATTTTGTTGTCATGGTCCTGATTCTGGAAGGGATTGGTTCCCACTGCATGAGAGTTTGCGATGTTCTTCAAGGGAACATTATGACAGCCACTCGAAAATTCAGTGTGCTTGTGGTTGTCGTCTGGGTGACAATATCGGAGTAATTTATTGACTCTCCAGTTGACAGTTTGGAGAGTCCACTTCCATTCCATCTGCTTATCCCTCGCAGATCCCTAGCCTGACATGCTATACCTTCTCATCTTCTTTGCAATCTGGGCAACCTTGCCAACCAACCAGCTTCAAACATTGTGCGGACATTCCATGTTCGTATGTACTTATCGATAGAGAGAAGACGTAAATCGACCAATTGGCTTCCCGAAGCCTTTCTCCAACTGGTGTTATTTCGCCTCTCCGATTCCAGTGAGGAATATGTTTATTTTTATGTTTTATTTTTTTTGTGCTTTGAAGTTTCTTTGGCGGTTATATTTATTTTACGGGTTAAGGTTGCTAGCCGTAATCCCAACCTTACCTCTTAATCCGTGCTTAGGACCAGTAAGTAACCAGTGAACTAGCTACCCAGGCGAGGTTATTTAGCTAGCTATGTTGTAAAGTAATTAGGTAACGCATCTACGTAGTTGACAAGAACAATACTGAATCCTGTCAGTTCATACTGTAAACATTTAGTCTCTCCTATTTCTTCGAAGCTACCATTGCAGACCCAAACGGTTCACACCATAAGATATCAATTTCGAAGCATATTTTGAGTCATAATACCATTGTGACAGTTAGAAGACCATTTGCAAATGACGAAGTCGAAGTTGGAATTAACAACAATTGCATAACAAGTGTCTTATGTGATTCTGCAACCTAGTGATTAATGCTCTTACATAGCATGAGTGGTGGGTTATTTTTCCAGTGTAGAACATCGTCCCTGGAATATAGGTAATCAGTCCTGCATTGAACAAAACCTGTGCCCTGAGGTCCACCACCAGTAGCCACGAAACTAATAGTATCCAGTTGAAAATCATGAAAATACCGAGGTAGCTATACAAAATTGGTGGTAAGCTCAAATAGATACACCATTTCGGTTCAATAAAACAGATGAGAAAACCTCAAGTGTTTGACTACCGTTACCTTCGTAGCATAGGTCTTGTTTCGTGGTTTCACCACGTGAGTAACACGTAGAGTTTTAGACAGGAGAGGTAGAACAGTTGATAGGTGTTTTGAACCTTCATTGAGATGACTGGAACATGTGTTACGTATTCCTAACCACCATCTCCCTCGTCACACAACGTTGGCCAAAATAGGTTTAAGCTCGAGACAACCAGACTAAAACATGGTATCAGTGGATGAAGTCCTTGGGTGTTCGTTTGAGCCATGTAGGCAGATGCAGACTAGCCAGTTGGGGTCTGTGGGGCAAGAGAAACCAGTGGTTAGCGACTGTAGGTAATATGGCTCAGAAACGACGTCAGTAGCGCAGATGTCTACATATATTATCCTCATCTTAACCAACACAGTTAATCTCATCATCTCATTCTTCCTTCTTCTCTTTTACTGGATTGTGTTTCCTTTGTCCAATTTTTCTTTCCTTCTTCATCTTCCATTTTATTGTCTTGATGCTTCATATAGTGATATGGAGTGTGGCAACTTGAACCGTTACGTATTAATGCCTAGTCCTATATTGATCTTGATGATGACGATGAATAAAACAAATGAAAGATAGTTGAGAGATCATACGAAGGACAAACTTAAGAGTTTCGTTCTCATTTACTCAGAGGTCAAGGTTGAAAATTCCAATCATAATCTGCTCATAAAATTATTATCATAATATTAAAGAGTCAGATTTGCAGAGTAAAACATACTTCTTCCTTTTCGAAGCTTTTCAGCTACTAATAGCCCTTAGAAATAAGAACATGCTATTTAGTTGAGCAGATGGAAATTTGTTGTATTCGACAGAGAGAAGGATGATAATACCATAACTGTAAATGATAACAGAGTGAAACGTCTCTTTAAACAGTTAGGAAAACGAATTCAAAGTGTAAATAACTGGGATATGGCGAATACAGCAACATACTCGAAGGACGTTATTGAATACTGCGTAGGAAGACAAGTAAATAAAGTAAATCGATTATTATTTTGATTATCTGAGATAACAACCTTGGTTTGGCAATCTAGTATTACTAGTACTGGGCGATGATTGAAGGTGAAGTGAAAATTTGGACCGCAGCCGGGTTTGAACCAGGCACCACTGGGTTTCCGGCTTCGATGCTGTACTAGCTGAACTGAGAACCTCGAAGCTAGTCTAAATCCGGCCACGTCCCAACTTTTCATTTCACCTTCAATCATCACCCAGTATAAGGTAAATCGGTCTGAAATCAGTTGATGGGTAAACAAAGTATGAGAAAAGGTCATCTTTTAAGACTAGAGAAATGTCACCATGACAAGATTAGACCAATCGTAGCCTGTTTGTAAATGATTCTACAAAGCGAAGTGCCACTGCTTTACTTTGTCTATTATCATTAGTATTTATTATTTGTCCCTTGGGTTCCTAGTGGAACATAGGGCTTCAATAGCACTTTAGTTTGTTCTCTGCAGTCTCTGACTCTACGACTCCCCACAAGCTTTCATTTCTTCCTCATATGATCTCCTCCATAAAACCCTGGCCTGAGATGCCCAACTCGTCGTTTCCCCATTTGAGTTCCACTTGAGCGCCTGGCACGTGATGCCTCAGAATGGTTTTCTCAGTGTATTCCCAGTCCAATCCATCTCCACTTTCTTCTGCGTATTTGTTGAGTGATGGGTTCTTGGTTGTTTCGTTCCGAGTTGCTTATTCTTATTATTCTGGCCATCTGATCTTCAGTATCTTGTGAGCGTAGGTGGCAGCTGTTGATGAATGTCTGTAGTTTGTTGGAAATGCTTTTCGTGACGCACCAGGTTTCTGAACCATCACATAGAAGCACTGACTTACTTGACTGACTTAGTGTTGAAAATCCGGATGTTGTTTACGTTTTATGCTGAGTGCAGTAGATCTCCACACTAGTTTCAGATTAATTGGAAGGTTCCTTTCAATCCTTCCATGTGAACCTTCTGAAGTAGTGGTGTGAGTATGTCCGCTGTTGTCTC